GGTGTAGAGCTGGATGAACACAGCAGGCCAAGCAGCATCAGAGGAGCAGGAAGGCAGACGTTTCGGGCCTAGACCCTTCTTCAGAAATGGCTTCGCAGTGGGGTTAAAATTGTTTCAGAGATAGTAGGAACTGCAGATGCTGGAGAATCTGAGATAACAAGGTGTAGAGCTGGATGAACACAGCAGGCCAAGCAGCATCAGAGGAGCAGGAAGGCAGACGTTTCGGGCCTGGACCCTGATCTCAGATTCTCCAGCATCTGCAGTTCCTACTATGGGTGGAGTGAGTGTTTTTTTTGTCTAAAGAAGCAGTCCTACATGTGAGCATTGTAAAGATCTTTAAAGGGCATTGCTTTAATCAGGCAGGTACCCAGTACAGGTTAAGGTTAAGGTATTCAGAATTTTGCATGTGACCTGCATGCAGTGACCAACTATGTTGGATGCCAATCTTGACCACAAGCAACCTTGACTATGTCACTGATCATCATGAATCGATCATAATTATTTCTGTGAAGCTGAAGGGATCACAGGTGATATTTACATTGACACTTGCAGGTAAAGATTCACAAAAATAATCCAAAGTCTCAAACTTTGCACAAGATCCTGGGGCTCCTTTCCTCTCATCCTGTAACTATTTGACAAAATCATCTTTTCTGCAATACTGCCTTTCTTGGGTGATGATGGGTTGGGGTTGGTAGTGGGAATGGCAGGGAGCAATGTCTCCTATTGTATTTGCACAGCACAGCTTGTGCTGCAATCATTGGAATAAGGTCCCCTATGTTAAAGGTCCAAGGATGGCATTCCATGACTGACCTTCTCACAGGTCTAAACTGTCATTTGTGCATGTATGATGTAAATACTGACACCTCACATTATTAAGGAGCTGCTTTCGTTCTGAAATTACCCTCAAAGGCTGATTGGAGCCATCACAGCAGATATTATCATCATTACAGCCCCTGCACAATGACTGGGGGAGGAATAAATGCGCAAGCAACACCACAGTTAGCAGCAACCTCACAGTTCAGTCCACACAGAGTGTGCTGTATAATCCAAGCATGCCATGCACTACATAATGGAAGCAGGCAAAAAGGACATGTGATGGATTCTGAAGAGCTGGGAGCATGGCAACAGTCTTCTGAGAAGAAAAATGAGGATATCGAGCAGGAAGAATATCACCGTCACCATAATTGAATGATGCTGCATCAAGCCCAACAAGTCAGAAAGGACATAATGGACATCCATTTCCAATCGATCTGAGTTGGGTGAAGTGATCACTCAGTGACTGTCAATTGTTGCTCGAGAGGAGAACTGGCTGCTTTAAACCCCAGAAGTAGGCTACAACGAGACCTTGAACGGATGGATCGATGGGCAAGTGGGCCAAGGAGTGGCAGATGGAGTTTAACCTAGATAAATGTGAGGTGCTACATTTTGGTAGAGTGAATCAGGGCACGACTCATACAGTTAATGGTAATGTCCTGGGGCGTGTTGCCGAACAAAGAGACCTTAGAATGCAGTTTCATAGTTCCTTGAAAGTGGAATGACAGGTAGACAGGGTAGTGAAAAGGCATTTGGTATGCTTGTTTTTATTGGTCTGTGCATTTAGTACAGGAGTTGGGAGGTCATGTTGCGGCTGTACAGGACTTTGGTTAGGCCACTTTTGGAATACTCTGTTCAATTCTGGTCTTCCTGTTATAAGAAGGATACTGTTAAACTCAAAAGATTTCAGAAAAGATTTACAAGGATGCTGCCAGGATTGGAAGGTTTGAGCTCCAGGGAGAGCCTGAATAGGCTGGGGCTATTTTTCCCGGAGTGTTGGAGGCTGAGGGGTGACCTTATAGAGGTTTATAAAATCATGAGGGGCATCAATAGGGTAAATAGCCAAGGTCTTTTCCCCAGGGTAAGGGAGTCCAAAACTGGAGGGCATAGGGTTAAAGTGAGAGGGGAAAGATTTAAAAGGGACCTAAGGGGCAACTTTTTTACGCAGAGGGTGGTGCATGTATGGAATGAGCTGCCCGAGGAAGTGGTGGAGGCTGGTAAAATTACAACATTTAAAAGGCATCTGGATGGGTACATGAATAGGAAGGGTTAGAGGGATATGGGCCAAATGCTGGCAAATGGGACTAGATTAATTTAGGATATCTGGCATGGACGAGTTGGACAGAAGGGTCTGTTTCCGTGTTGTACAGCTCTATGACTCTATGACTCTATGCAGGTTTTTTTGGTAGGTTCTTTATTTGCTTTTCCTGCTGTTTAATAAAAGTTACTATTAGAACAGTCCGAAGGCTTTACAACATGTGATGTTCCCACATTCAACAATGACAAGCTGTTACGCTTCCCTGGGCATTAGGGAAAGAGACTAACAATAGGGAACCTCATGTCACTTCATTCTTACAGTCGATCAGAAAGGTGATGATTTAAGATACCAATATATTCACAAATGTGATATTCTGTTTACAATGAAGTGTCATTCATGCCACCGATGTGTTTTTCTTTATCACTTTCCCTGCGTCCATTGTAAAACTCTGGCAGTGATTGAACTGGGGCACAGCTGGGTTTTACATTGTTCACAATTTAAACTAATCCTTTTTTTTTGTCTTTCTACGTATTGTTGCTGCTTAGCCTCACCATCTCACATGATCTCACCACTTCTCCAAATTGTCAGACATCTGTCTAACATACAGCACTGGGCAAAACTGAGGTTCCTGTGATTGCAATATATATACTGGGAGCTTTAATAAATGTCTGTTGAATTTTTCAATACCATGCTGCCCATGTCTGGCTCTTATGTTACAAAATCTCACATAAATGTTGCAAATTCCCTACAGGAGGCAAAGCCCACACTACAGAAATATACTGATCAAAACCTAGGGACTTGTTAGCACACAGCTTCAACAGTTTTGTTCAGTACCACTTTCTGGTGATTGTAATTTTCTTGAGATTATTTTTTCCACTATTCCATTTCCCAATTTATAGCTGTTTCTGGAATGATACCTGTATCCTCTACAGTAAGACAGATGTAAATTACCTGTTCAGTTTGTGTTCTATCTGCTTATTTTCCATTATTAATTTCCACACTCACTTTCTATTGGACCAGTGATCTCTTGATTAATTTTCTTTCTTAAGTATCTACAAAAACGTTTATCATCTGTCTTTATATTTCCAGTTAGCCTTCTCTTGTGTTCTAATTTTTGTCTCCTTATTAATCTTCCAGTTATTCTTTGTTTTTCTTATTCTGTCCAGTCTTCTGACCCACCATTTATATTTGCAGTTATATGCTTTGACATTAAGGTTGATGCTAGCTACAACCTTTCAAGTTGACCACAGATGGTGTGCTGTTCCTTGGAAATTTTCTTGGATATTCAAATGTATCTGTTCTGTGTATTCTGAAATATGCCCTTAAATGTCTGCCACTTTATCTCTAGTGATCTATCTTTACCCTGAGTTGCCAATTCACTTTAGCCATCAGTGCTTTTGTGCCAGAAAATTGATGCAATTTAAATATGAAAATGTAAAATGCTTATCTTAGTTGAAGGACATTTACAAGAATCTAATCTCCATGTCAATGTTGTATTATTTCACTATTATAAGCGGCTGGATAAATTACAGATTATGTGAGCACTAACTTTTGCCAGTATTTTATTAGCAAAATCTGGGCCTCTCTTATATTTTATTCATTTATAGGGTGTAGGCCTCACTGGCTGGTCAGCATTTATTGCCCGTCTCTAGCTGTCCTTAAAGTAGTGGTGGTGAGCTGCCTTCTTGAACTGCTCAGTCTATGTGCTGTGGGTTGACCCACAATGCCATTAGGGAGGGAATTCCAGGATTTGACCCAGTGACAGTGAAGGAACGGTGATATATTTCGATCTCAGGATGGGGAGTGGCTTGGAACAGAACTTGCAGACAGTGATGTTCCCATGTATCTGCTGTCCTTGTCCTTCTAGAAAGAAGTGGTCAAAGGTTTGAAACGTTAGAGACATAAATACTGCAGATGCTGGAATCCAAATTAGACAAACAGGAAGCTGGAAGAACACAGCAGGCCAGGACTGAAGAAGGGTAATACCCAAAATGATGACTGCTCCTTTCCTCCAGATGCTGCCTGGCGTGCTGTGTTCTTCCAGCCTCCTGTTTGTCCACCATGGGTTTGGAAGGGGCTGTCTAAGGTTCTTTGGGAAATTTGTGAATCTTTGTAGATAGTAACACTGCTGCTAATGAGAGTCGGTGGTAGAGCGAGTGAATGTTTGCAGATGCAGTTCCATTCAATGCTGCTTTGTCCTGGATGGCGTCAAGCTTCTTGAATATTGTCGGAACTGCACCCATCCAGGCAGGTGGGGAGTATTCCATCACGCTCCTGACCTGTGCCATGTAGATAGTGTACAGGCTTTGGGGAAATCACAAGGTGTGTTATTTGCTGCAGTATTTCTAGCCACTGTATTTATATGGCTGGTCCGTTTTAGTTTTTGGTTAATCGTAGGCCCCAGATGTTGATAGTGGGTGATTCAGTTGGTGAATAATGCTAGTGAACGTCAAGGGGCAATGGTTAAATTATCTTTTGTTGGAGATGGCCATTGCCTTGCATTTGTGTGGCATGAATGTACTTTCTTTATTATTCAAATAGCATAAGTCTCAGTGATAATCTGTTCAATCATTTTACCCAAGGAGTGTGCTGAATTATTTTGACAGTTGTAAAACTTGTAATACAAGAAATGTACATAACTGTCTATTAACAGGGAGTCTCTGCTTTCTGCCTAAGCTATATGGAACTTTTCAAATCTCCTTCCTCTAACCCTATTGCATTCTCAGTTAGTTGAGTTGTTATCATTCAGTTGCAGGCCAGTAATTTGCAGTAGGCTAAATTAGGTTGGCTCAGTGACACATGGTTCAACTAAACCTCATTGCAACCTGCACTTGATGAACTGACTCAGGCTATCCTCTGTATTCAATAAAATGAAGGTAGATTATGCCTAAGCTTGGAGGCTCTCTCATCATGTTCTCAAAACAACACAATTTTTACCATTATATATATTTTATTTGACTTCAGCAGATATAGCAAAAATGTTTCAGTTCAAAAAGAATTAATTTCATGTTCAATTAAAATAACAGGAACAAAAGATGTGCAACAATTAAGATTGTAAACTTGAGCAACCTGCTGGTGCACCAATTTGTACTTAGATGTTCTCTGCATCATAAACATTTCTGCTTTCTTTCCCAAAGTAGCCCCAGGGTCTACAGCAAGACTTAATTTTTCTTTTCTTTATTCATTCATGGGATGAGGGCATCACTGGCTAGGCCAGCATTTATTGCCCATCCCTAATTGCCCAGAAGGCAGTTAAGAATCAACCACAACATAGCAAAAGCAAAAGATTCCTAAAGTACTCAGTATGTCTGGGAGCATTTGCACAGACAGAATCAGAGTTAATAATTCAAGCCAATCACCTTTCATCAGAACTGCTTCTATCCTCACAGATGCTATCTGCCCAGCTGAATACTTCCAGAACCTTATTTAAAAATTCAGATTTCTAGCATCTGAAGTATTTTACTTCGGTTTTACTCACATCGTGAAGAGCCTTCAACTTTTAATTAATAAGTTCTTGCTTGTTCTGCAGCTCACGAGAGCCAGGGAATGACTCCAGAAAAGCTCAGTCGAAAACTCAAATAGTTACAATCAATGTTCCTCCGCCACTTTCAAACATTTCACAGCAAAGATTATCCCTGCCCTTCCAGGTATGTATACCAATTGGCATCATTGTTTCCAGAGGGATGGTGTTTTATTGAAGTAACCGTACAGCCACAACTAGGCCATACATTTAGGAAACGAGTTTAATCCTTCACGTTTTGCACAAGCCTTTGGCTTTGAACCCTGCAAGACAAAATGATGTTTAGCAACTATCACAGCAATAAAATCGCAACAGATTCATAGCCAACGTATCAGACACCTGACTTTGTGACAGCTATAAGTGAAGCACTGGGTTACCCTCTTGTTCAATCACTTTTCCAAATGACAATTTAATTAATGATGAGTTCACAAGAATCAAAATAGTTTAAGCATTGTGCTAACATCCTAATGTCTGATTACATCAATCTTCGACAGGTCATCCCTGTGTGGGATGGACAAATTCCAAGAGGCAGAGACTGACTGGCAGGGGAGAATTAATGGGAGGTTAGAAAGTCCTATAAATGCAAAGACCCTTTTAGGGATTGTTGATTCAGTTTCTCAATATCATTTCCTAGTTTGCTCCACAATGTCACTGGGACAGATGTTACTAGCAATGTAATAATGATTGGGTGCTTCAATCTACAAGAGGTGCAAAATTATTGTAGGAGTAAAAAACAGATCGCTAATGTCCAGACTCAGTTATATCAGATTCTCCACAGGAGGGTTAGTGGTTGATGATAGTATCTCAGGGTAGATGTCCAAAATGATTGCAAAAATCAACAAAGAAGTCTGCTTCCCAAGCAAGGGAAACAGGATAAGGTAGCATCCCCCAGATTGCAAAACTGGGCTGATTTATATCTTCTGAACTGGTTACTTTTGACAGATCAGTTTTGGCTGAATTCTCTAATTCAGATTCATCACTTTCACAGACACAGAGAAAGACAGACACTCAGAGACAAACAGACACAGCAGGCAATAGCAGGCAAGAGAAAGCCTGATAAAAGTGGCAGGAACCTGATTCATTATTGTAATTTGGGGGATAATCTTAGGGGAGTGGGTAATAGAAAATTTGGGGCAGATATCGTATGTCACAAGCGAACAAACATTTTATAATCTACCCCAGGCTCTACAATTCCCTCCATAAATGCTGCCTCTTTACTTTGCTTTTCTGCTTTAAGATACTCCCTAAAACTTGTTGATAAAACATTTGATCATCTGTTCTCATATCTCCCCTGGTGGCTCAATGTTAAAGTGTTTTAAAAAAGTTATGCTTGGCTGTGACGTGTATTTGTATCAGATTTTTCCCAACATGAGCCAGTTTGGAATTGAGCCATAGACCTCAGAGTTGAGTGAGAGGCCCAAGTGGCATTTAAAATATAACACGGAAAATAGGAGCAACAATAGGCCATTACACCCCTCCATTTATCACAATCATGGCTGATCATCTACCTCCACTCCATTTTCTTGACAAGCTTTCATTTCCTCAAATCCCTTAAAGATCAAAAATCTGTCTTTCAACCTTTTCTATACTCAACAACAAAGCATCCACAGTCCTCTGAGGTAGAGATCTTCAAAGCCTCAAAACCTCTTGGAGAAAGAAGTTTCTCTTCATCTCAGTCCTATATGATCAACCCTTTCTTTCTTGATGTCACTCGTGTTCTCAGCTTCCCCGTCAGGAAGAAATAATCTCACAGTGTTCACCCTATCAAGCCCCTTCAGAATTTAAGATCACCTGTCATTCTTCTGAACTTCAGAAAGGAACTAGCTTACTCAGTTTATCAAACAAGCCCAGCCTCTGCTTATCCCAGGAACCAATTTAGAAAACATTCACAAAAGTGTGAGGTGATTCACTTTGGAAGGAGTAACAGGAATACAGAGTACTGGGCTAATGGTAAGATTCTTAGTAGTGTGGATGAGCAGAGAGATCTCGGTGTCCATGTGCATAGATCACTGAAAGTTGCCACCCAGGTTGATAGCGTTGTTAAGAAGGCGTACGGTATGTTACGTTTTATTGGTAGAGGGATTGAGCTTCGGAGCCATGAGGTCATGTTGCAGCTGTACAAAACTCTGGTGCAGCCGCACTTGGAGTATTGCGTACAGTTCTGGTCACT